TTTTTTTTATGTTGATCTTGTTTTTTTATGGCTTCTTACAAACAAAAGAGAATAAGAAATGATGATAAGCATGTCAAACAAAGAAAAAATGAAGATAAATGTGTGACTTAAATATTTAAGAAAAATATTCTTTTTTAATATTTAATTGCTACTCTTATTTTTAGACGAGTTGACTTGAGATACCGTACATGTCATAAGCAATTAAGTTCCGCCTGCTATTAAAATTCTTTTGTAACACCTTTTCATGGTGATTATTTTTGCTTAAAACTTCATCTTGTGTAGTTTTTCTTCAACAATGCTTCTATCAGCCTATAACATTATGACGATGTCATTAGTTTGGGAGCATTCATAATTGAGTTCACTGCATGCATTTGGTTGTGTTATTTTAGGGTGAATTGATCAAGCCCTTTTCTATTTCATTTGTAACAACGATGATGCTCGCTAATCATTTTTGAAAAATTGCGTTCGTCACGTGAGGAGAGGAGTGGCGATAAAAAATAGTGGAATTTATCATTCCAACCAAAGACGCTCATCTCCCCCTGTTTCATCAAATGAAATTTTGTACAGCCTTCAAAACTTTCTCGCATCCTCAAACGAAACCTTAGTCCAAGAAGCCTTGGATGACTATAAATGAATTATTTGGAGGGACATTTTGGCCAAGTTGCACTCAAGATCAAATAGAGCATCTATAATAACATTTTTATATAATGTTCAAAATATTGCTTTGCCAACATATAGTACAAAAAATATTCATCGGATCTCGTCTTTATGTGTCGTACTATTATAACTATTGTTTTCTTGTCGCGATTCCTGAGAAACCTTGTTCTCGCGATTCCCTAGGTTCAGTGCCACATTGCTAACCGATCTCTCACTCTCACTCTACCTTTCTTCTTTTCTCTCTCCTCATCTCTGTCCTCTCATATTTTATCACCCATCGCCCATTTTTTTGAAGCCGTTGTCTCCATTGACAATCTTTGAATCTCATTGCTATGAATGGAAAGGTTTCTCGTTTGACAGCTATGTTTACGAGTTCCAAGTGATATTTCACTCCGTTTTTCGCTCTTTCCTGTTGCAGAAAGCCTCGAGATTCCACAGTGAAAGGGGACCGGTGGCGTTCGGGCAAGATGAACTTTGATTATCTTAAAGAACACGTGGGCTCATGATTATTAGTTAAATTTGAGATGTTTTTATTCTCTAATCGGAAAATCTTCATCCTGATTCGTTTCAATCGGGAAAACCCCTGTTCTATGTATTTTGCTGTGTGAGCGATGGTATTAGGCAGGGGAGAAAGGGATTTTTAAGTGTTGGATTCAGATTGAGTGGGCTAAAGATTATTCATATAGCTTCCTTTCATGTGTTTCGTTTGTATTTCGTTCTTCGGCGGCGATTGCACATTTCTAATTATTACAGGATTATACTGACTGATCCTATGTTTTTCTAGGCCTATTTGGCCGGCTTACATGGGTTTGTTATTCATCGGTCAATTGAACGGATATACTTTTATTTGAATTCCTATCGACGGTAAGCGCTCTATTTGATTTGTTCCGACTTTTTAGATTCTTCTTTGATGGCTGCGTTATGATAATCTTGCAAGTTTTTATGTTTCCTGGTATGCGATTGTGTGACAGAAAGCTGTTCTTTTCATAATCGTATCTGTTCCTTGCTGAAGAGATGGACGGGGCTGTTTTTATTGCCATAGCAGCCACTATTGGAAACCTGTTGCAGGGTTGGGACAATGCTACAATTGCAGGTATGATCTTACTTTCTTCCTATGTCATATTGGAAATTTTATGGCTCATTTGGTTGCTTGAAGTTATAAAATATGTTTTGGAAATGTTGAAACTGGTTTATTCCATAATTTGGTTGGATGTAGTCAGCAATCTGGTTTATTCTGTAATATGTAAATGGCTCATTGATTTCAAACTCTACAAACCTCATCAAAACTCCTTTAATGTAATGATTTAATTTTCACACATAATGAGTGAAAATGAATTAGCATTTTCTAAATTATATTTTCTATCTGCTAGGAATCTCTTTTTTTTTCTGACGCTGATAACTCTTTTGAATCTCAAAATTCTATTTTTATTGATCCAGGAGCTGTTATTTACATTAAAAGAGAATTTGAATTACAGACAAAGCCTACTGTTGAAGGTTTAATTGTGGCTATGTCACTTATTGGCGCTACAATAATTACTACATGCTCAGGACCCATTTCAGATTGGTGTGGCAGGCGCCCCATGATTATCTTGTCTTCAGTATTTTATTTTATTAGTGGCTTGGTGATGCTGTGGTCTCCAAATGTTTACATCTTACTCCTTGCGAGGCT